TTTGGGGCGCAGTTTTTGGGGGTGGTGACATTGGGGTGCAGTTTTTGGGGGCGGTGACATTGGGGTGCAGTTTGGTGTAGGGATTATTGGGGTGCACTTTGGGGCGCAGTTTTTGGGGGTGGTGACATTGGGGTGCAGTTTTTGGGGGCGGTGACATTGGGGTGCAGTTTNGGTGACATTGGGGTGCAGTTTTTGGGGGCGGTGACATTGGGGTGCAGTTTTTGGGGGCGGTGACATTGGGGTACAGTTTTGGGGGCGGTGATATTGGGGTGCACTTCGGGGCTCAGCTCTAACACACACACACACATCGGCTCCACCCAGCCGGTGCTGTGGGGGTACCTCCCCCCTTTCCCCGCCCCGTTTCGGGGCTCCCCTCACCCCAAAACCCCCCGCAGGTGCCCTGGACGACTTCGAGCGCAGCCGCCCCGCGCCGCCGCCCCCTGCCAGCTCCTGCCGAGCCCCCTCCCCGCCTTCCTCCGAGGTGGGCACCCCCAAAGCCGCGCGGGGCGCGGCGGGCGGCGCCGGGGCGCGCTGACCCCGCCGCAGGGCTCGCTCTTCTCCTCGCAGGAGAGGTTCTTCCAGGAGCTCTTCGAGGGCGAGCTGGCGGCGCAGGCGGCCGCCGAGTTCCAGGAGGCCATGCAGGAGCTGGCCCGCCAGGAGCCCCAGCTGGTCCAGCAGTTCCAGAAGCTCTCCGAGGCCGCGGGGAAAGTCGGTCAGTGGGGCGGGCGCCAGGGGGAGTTCCGGGTGGGAATGGGGGTCCCGGGCCTGCCCCGGTCCCAGGACCACCTGGAGATGTGGCCCGGTTTGGGATGGGGGGCAGCGACCCAGTGGGACACCTCGGTATTCCCATTGTTCCCACTATTCCCATTATTGCCAATCCCATCTGCAGCTGTCCCCCAGTTTGGGGGCAGTGACTTAGTGGGACTAGGTATTCCTAGTAGGTATTCCCATTATCCCCCATTCCCAACCCATTCCCAACCCCATCTCAACCCCATCCCAACCCCAACCCCATTCCAAGCCCCATCCCAACCCCGTTCCCATTCCCAAACCCCATTCCCGACTCCGTTCCCATTCCCAAACCCCATTCCCACCCCCATTCCCAAACCCCGTTCCCATTCCCATTCCCGTTCCCATTCCCGTTCCCATTCCCAAACCCCGTTCCCGTTCCCGTTCCCATTCCCGTTCCCGCCCCGCAGGCAGCGACGCGGCCTCGCAGCAGGAATTCACCTCCTGCCTCAAGGAGACCCTGAGCGGGCTGGCCAAGAACGCCAATGACCTCCAGGTACTCCCTCCCGGGGCTCTCCCGGGGCTCTCCCGGGGCTCTCCCGGGGCTCCCGGGGTCTCACGGGCTCCCGGGATCCCGCAGAATTCCCCGGGCTCCGAGGAGGAGCTGGCCAAGGCCCTGGAGGGGCTGGGGCTGGAGGAGGGCGGCGGCGACGGCGTCCTGCCCGTCATGCGCAGCATCATGGAGTCCCTGCTGTCCAAGGACGTGCTCTACCCCTCCCTCAAGGAGATCACCGAGAAGGTGGGACCCCCAAATCCGGGAGGAACCCCAAAAACCGGGAGGGCACCCCAAAAAACCTGGGGGGGTTCCCTAAAATCCTGGAGGGATTGTCTGGGGTGTGGGAAACTCCAAAGGGGACATGGTGCAGTCCTTGCTGTCCAAGGATGTGCTTTGCCCCTCCCTAAAGAACATCACTGAGAAGGGGACACCCCAAAATCCAGGAGGAGCCCCAAAAACCGGGAGGGCACCCCAAAAAACATGAGGGGAACCCAAAAAACCTTGGTGGGGGTCCTTGAAATCCTGGAGGGATTGTCTGTGGTGTGGGGAAACTCCAAAGGGGACCTGGTGCAGTCCAAGGTGCTCTGCCCCTCCCTAAAGATCACTGAGAAGGTGACACCCCAAGGTCCAGGAGGAGCCCCAAAAACCGGGAGGGGACCCCAAAAAATCTGGGGAGGGTCCCTGGGGGACATGGTGCATTCCCTACTGTCCAAGATGTGCTCTGCCCCTGACCCCTTGTGGGGTCTGTCCCTGTCACCCCCAGGGCCGTACTGGGACACTTCACCCTTTTCTCCAGGATACTGGGGGTCCCACGGGGGATTTTGGGGTTCCTACAGTGTCCCCCTGCCTGTCCCCTGCTTGTCCCCAGTGCCTGGCGTGGCTGTGGCAGCACGAGGGGTCCCTGTCCCCGGAGCGGTGGGAGCGGTTCTGTGCCCACTAGGGGCCGAGGATTTGGGGGTTCCGTGGAGGATTTCGGGGTCCCATTGGGGATTTGGGGGCTCTGTGTGGGATTTTGGGGGTTCCACGGTGGATTTGGGGGTTCCCTCCATGTCCCCAGTGCCTGGAGTGGCTGCGGCAGCACGAGGGGTCCCTGTCCCTGGAGCAGCAGGCGTGGCTCGGGGCTGGGATTGCCTGAGATTTGGGGGTTCCTGCAGTCCCCTCGATGTCCCTCAATGTCCCCTCGATGTCCCTCGATGTCCCCTCGCTGTCCCCTCGCTGTCCCCAGTACCCGGAGTGGCTCCGGCAGCACGAGGGGTCCCTGTCTGCGGAGCAGCGGGCGCTGATGGGGCTGGGATTGGCTGGGATTTGGGGGTTCCATGGGGGATTTGGGGGTCCCCTCGCTGTCCCCTCGATGTCCCCTCGCTGTCCCCAGTACCCGGAGTGGCTCCGGCAGCACGAGGGGTCCCTGTCCCCGGAGCAGCGGGCGCGCTTCGGGGCGCAGCAGGAGCTGATGCTGCGGATCTGCGCCGAGCTGGAGCGGGAGCGGCCGGAGGAGCCCGAGGGGCAGCGCCGCGAGCGCTTCGAGACCCTGCTGGACCTGATGCAGCAGGTACGGCCCGGGCGGGGCGGCGGGCCCGGGCCGCCCTGACCCCCGTGTCCCTCTGTCCCACCCCCGTGTCCCCCTGC